TAAAAGATTGCGTATACGTATTGAGTAAATACTTCATATATATATACTGTATATATTTTATATATATATATATATATAGTATATATATATATTATAGTGTATATATAAAAAGAACCCGATATATAAGTTGCAATTGGCAGTCAGTGTTGAAAATTCGTTGTGCATGTATTATTTTTTGCACAAAAATTAATAATTACTGTGCAAATTGCACAAAAAATAAAATAGCATTCCTGTTTGTGCTGAATTTTCAACACTAGGATAAAAATATAGTAAACTTTGATAATTTACAGTATATAAAAGTTAACTTTTAATAATTTTTTTTTTTTTTACAATAATTTGAGAATCTTGCCAATTACTTTATTAGATATTGAATACTATTTCTAGAATAATACAATTTTTAAAGAGGAACTCTTTGGTATCTAAATTAAAGTGTTGATTTACTTAGCTGTTTAATGAGTATATATAGTACCTATATACAATTTGCTATATCAAGAATTTATCTTTATACTAATTAATTTTGTACTTGAATTTCTTAATACTTCTATAAATAGATTCTTGTAGCCTATTAAAACTGCCTGCTTTTCTTTTTAATTTTTTTTTTTTTAAGAAGTATGTATAAGACAAAGAGTGAATTTATCAAAATAATAATAATAATAATAATAATAATAATAATAAAATAGAAAAAAAAAAAGAAAAAAAAAAGACACAAAGATTAAAAAAAAAAAAAACAAAAAAAAACAGTAATAATAGCAATATTTATACTATACCTGTACCAAGGCTTAAAAAAATTATATATTAATTGCAATTAATCAATATACTGTATCTTGCTTATAAAGCTTTACTTTATTGTTAAAGACTTGTTTTAAACATATTATTAGGATCAAGTATTTTTTAAACAAAGATGTAAGTTTTTTTTTTATATTATAATACTATATTAATAAACAAAACAAATACATAGTTGTATTTTATTAAGTATATTTAAATTAGATAAGTATGAACAATGCCAATCTTTTAAAAAAAGTAAGCCAAAAAGCCTACTTTTTATTAAAAATTTTGATATAAATAACAAAAAAAGTGAAAGGTTAGAAAAAGTCATACTTGTATTATAAAAAAAAAGTAAGTTTCTTTAATTAAATCAATAAAAATCTCTACTAAAATATATATAATACTAAGTTTTCTTAGTAAGTAATAAACTTTAAACTTGCTAATATATACTGTAGTATATGAGAACTATCTCTAAATAACAAGTGCTATGCTTGTAGTAAGTAATAAACTCTAAAACTACTAGCAGATAGTATATAAGAACTATTTCTAAATAATAGTTGCTATTTTATATTTATGTTTTAATTTTTTATATTTTTTCTAATTTATAGTTTTTTAAAATTTTTCAGTACAAGTAATTGTTAGAAAAAGTTTTATTTAATTTGAGCTAACTTTTAATAATATATAGTTATACTATATTATATACATAGTATCTTTATAGTATATAATTATAGTATTAATATAGTACTATAGTAAATATAATAATAGTATATTATAATACATATAAATAGCTATATATTAAAGTTATATTAAATTATAAATTAAACAAATTAAGGTATAATGAGTTAGTAAAGTGGTCTAGTTATTACTTTACCAAGTAATAGATCTAAAGTTTGAATTCTATAGATAATGATTTTAAATAATTATCTATATTATAATTAATAGCTATTTGTTAATTAGTTAGATTTAGAATTTGTAATCTTGATAATACTATTTAGAATAAAGCTTTGGTATAATAAAACCAAAAAATTAAAATAATCAAAAACCTATTTAAAAAAATTCAAGTAAAAAGATAATAAAAACTTTTAATAATAATATAGAAAAACCAAACTTGAAACTAGAGATCAAAACCAAATAACTAGATTTTTAAATAGGATAATATACTAGCTAAACTGCTAAGTTGTCAAACTAGAGAAAAAGAATATATACTTTAGAAGTATATACTAAGAAAAGAATATTTATAAGATATTTAAAGTCTAAAAAGATCAATTTTTCCAGGTTACTGGCTAGAAATAAAAGAGAAACTAGTTAAAAATTTATAAAAAAATGAAATCTAAATATAGGTGCTAGGGTTAAAGTAAACCTTATAAATATATAGTAATTAAATAAGTTTATTTCTAACTACAAGTAGAAGCCTTGGCAATTATAATACTAAGTTAGTTAAAATAAAATATAAAAAGCTCTAGTAAGTTTATCTTGAGAATAGACTAGTTTAGAGTTAGTAAATTCTAAGACTTATTTAAAATCTAAAAAGAAGTTAGAAATTTTATAATAGAAGTAAGTTATAATTAAAAAGTTTAAATAAGCAACCCTCTAGTTAGGTTGTAGATACTATATAGCAGCATTGTATACAAATATTATCTGGCTAAAATTACAAGAATACAAACAGTCTAGAACAATGTTCTATATTCCAAATAATATTAAATATTCGTGATAGTATTTCATCTTACAGGTTTATCAAACAACCTGATTGGCTAACAAGACCACTCTCATTACAATTTAATTGTCTAGAACAAAAAATTTTTCATGAACATGTCTATAAATATCTCTTCTCAGACTGTTTGCTATCCATATCTGTGTCTTATAACAATACTGCTGTATACTGTAGTATATAATATAGAACTTTAGATTAGAGATTCGACCTATTATAAATTTCTTCTTTAGATTATTCACCTATTTAAAAAAGCTTTACTTGAGTACAAAACTGATTTGTTAAAAAATAATTGAATAACTCGAGTTATCTGGTTTATTTATATCTAAATTTTTAGATATTTTAAAAAAGTGATAAGTCAAAAGTTTTACAATATTATTATTATATAGTATGTGTTTAAAATTACATTTTTTAGAATTTGATCTGTAAATTATAAATTTTTGCTTTGCAGTATTCAAATATGAATAATATTTTATTCTTTAATATTAAATCTGATAATAATTTTAATATTGGTATTAAAAAACTTATAAACTTATAAATATAAATGAATAAAAAAAAATTGCCAAAAAGTAAAAAAAAAAAACAAATAACTATTAATCAAGTTAACCAGTTAAACACAACTTACTTCAGGTTAGACATCAAAATTACAGGTCATGGGTTGGTAAATAAGCAGGTCAAATCTCTACTTTAGATAGACTACTTAAATAGATAATCAAAAATCATATGTGTAGCTAGTTGTACTCTTATTATTAACTAGAGAATTTAAATAGATAACTTCCTAATTAGGTTATAGATATGGCAACTAGTGTAGAACTAGATAGGCGGACTACTTAAATAGGTGATTAAAAGTTATATAAGTAGCTAGATATACTCTTATTGTAATTTAAAATAATACTTTTAATATATGGCTAAAGAAGTTATCTTTAGCACTAAAAAAAAAAAAAATTAAACAAAACTAAAAATAAAAAAGGTTAAAATCAAATTTGCAAAAAAAACAAAATTTTGAAATTAATATTTAATATAAACAATACAAAAACTGTTTAAAACTTCTGCAAAATATATAAATTTAATTACTACAATATATACTGTATACTGTAATAAATACTTTTATATTTTTATAATTTTATCAAAAATTTTTAGCAAAATCAATTTTTAGTACCGTACTAAATTAAGTACAGCAAAATTTCAAAAAAAAAATAGTGATTTTAAAAATAATTTATACAAGTCTAATATCACAATTTATTTTAGTAAAATTTGAATAAAATTTATTAAATAGTTGGCTCAAAAAATATATTTTTTTATTGTACTAAATTTAGTACAAATGTGAAACGGATAACCATTAAAAAAATTATTTAAATAAACAATCCAAAGCTATATACTGTATATACAGTATAGCTAGTTATACTCTTATTATACGTATGTAAATACAAATTATACTGTAGAATTAAACACAAATCTAATTTATTTTTAAGGCAGAAATCTCATATATATAAAGTTTTTTTTTAAAAAAAGAATTATTTATTAAAAATATCTTAACAACACATAGTATGTATTTACTGTACACGGATATTAATTTATTATTTAAAAAATTAACCCTGAAAACCAGATGTGTGTTATGAACTGCATTCATAAGTTTGCTTTTAAAAATAGTATTCTAAGAGATGAGAGAACAAACAATTGTGACTCGCTAGAACCTCTAAAAACGAAGAACCTTAACTCAAAATAAATTATTTTCAAACAATGACACGATTTAATTGACAACGTCCTGAATATTATGAATTGAATTAAAGTATGTATCACAAAACCTGGTCGAATTAAAATATATTTCGCGAAACAAACAAAATATGGATTGCGAAACATAGTCAAGTTTGAATTAAGACATGTATCGTGAGATCAAACTAAAGTATATAATGCCAAACTAAATCAGAATTAAAGTATGCGTCGTAAGATATAAAAGTATAATGGCGAAACACGAATTAAAGCATATCGATATCCGAAATCTAAAAAATTAAAGTATACGTATAATATATACTTGGATATCTAAAATATGGAACTAAGATACGTATCACAAAATATAGTACCTAATACGTACAAGGGAAATTTGGATAAAATGAAAATAAAAAAGGACAGTAAAATAGAAAAAATATATTTAGCGAAACAATAGTTAGACCTATTTTAAACACGGGAAAGGATTTTAGAATTACGTAACTCTAAAATAATGCTACCTAAACAACAGTATATGTATCATTATATATATATATATATTATAAAAACGGCTCCAAGTTTTTATATATATAGTAAGAAACAATAATAATCCCTACGTAGCAGGGAGATTTTTCACCATTACACCAATTACACTTGCACACATTTCACAAATAACACACTATTGCCGATTGGTGATAGTTAATGCCGTAATCATTACACCTATATATATAGATTTATTTATTTAAATAATATTTTACCAGCATCATTAAAACGCTATCTCCATAACTTAGGCTCCCTCCCGTACGATTCGAATTTATTAAGGATGACACACAATAATGGCGTAAATGTGGCTGATCCACTTGCACAAGAAACCTTGTTGAAAGAAATGGCCAAAAAAAGTTGAACATTGTATTATTGTATTATAAACACCCGATACAATTATTTAAAATATAACCTTTTATTTTTAGCAAGTGGAGATTTAGAAGCGTTTCTTAATCAATCGTATAATGATTCATCACTTGGATTATACCATATGAGCGAGCATATTCGTAGAAGAGTACCACAAATCGTTGAAGAAAAGGTAGATAATTTATTAAAATATCTTTAATTTTCTTAACCTACTCATCTGATTATCGTTAAAATTACTTTTACAGAAAGGATTAATTAATTTAGAGAAAGATCTAGAAATCAAGATTTCAGATACGAAAGATTCTTATACATTAGTGAAATCTCTGCAGACTATATCAAGCTTTAAAAATATTGGTGATTTATTGAAAAGTACTTTAGATATTGTAGAAGCTGCTAAAATTAAAAAGTAGCTACATACATATGTATGTATGTAATTATTTAGGACTAGAGTCACATTTTAGCTTCATGACTGACTCAATGCATCTAAGCACTTACTATGATACGTATCTTTTGATGTATTTATAAGCCGCACAAAGTTACACGAAAAACTTGTACAATACAATATCTTATTAATTAACGTTAATGCATCAAAACCCGAAACGAGTTTATGAAACATTATTTATATTAAAATAGCCTTTTAAAGATAAATTTGGAATACTGCGGTCATCTCCGTCACGTATATAATGGCTTTGATACAATACTTTCCTTAAATTTATCATCTTACGTATTTGCCTGGAGGAAATCGCCGGTCGATTTACTACGCTGTCACGAGCCATATTTATATAACGTTATCTTTTTTTTCCACTTTCCTTATTCCTTAAATCGCAGTGCGTTTATAATATAGTGTATATCTTTGAACTTTATATAAATTATAATAATGTCAAATAACAATAGTGTTTCTGAGAAAGATCAGTCGGCTTTTCCGACAATTACTGTACTTGATGTGTCTGAAGAAAAACGTTATGAAGATAAAGCAGTACAACGAAAGTGTTGTGGCTGTATAACAGAACAAGTGGGAGTTGTTATTATTCTATCCTTCTACTTTGTAAGTATTGCAGTCATATGAAGACACTATTAAAAAGGAACATCACGGTTTTTAACTTATATGTAATTTATATAACAGTTCTACGGATTGTTAAATACTTTAAGTTCACTTTCTTCCTTGGCATGTAAGTATAAACTATTATTACTTTATCTACATTATCTGAATTCAAAAATTACATTATATATTAAAAAAAAAATCATTTTTTCTCATTTTATCTTCAGCATCCGATTACATTCTTAGGGATAAAATAATTTTAATAATCTCTGCTATCCTATATATCTTTATGACTGCGATTGGAATTATCGGTACTATCGCAATCCGAAAGGTAAATATTACTATATCCATACATAATTTATTGTTCTATAAATAATAACACTATTTTTACATTTCAGGGAAATATTGTCTTGTTACGCCGTCTATCAATTGCTCTTTGGATTTTCACTACTTTAATGTTTAAGTTCAATATTTCAGTTTATATTACTGAAGTAGTATTTAAAGACGAATATGTACAGGCCTGTCTTTCAGCACAGCAAGATACTGAAAATCAGGGATTTGATGCATCAAATTGGGATTGTAAAGATTTCATTAATGCTATTTTAGTTAGGGATGCTCTTAAAGTTTCCATTTTTGGTATTCTTTCGGTATGTTATATATTTTGCGAAAATCTGCATTTCTCTTTATGGATATTGATTGTATTTATGAAGCTTTAAATTTTTTTCCAGTTCTATTTTGCATATGTCGTTGCCCGTTATTCCCGAAGAATGAAAAATGGGCCTCCTCTCCATAAATATTCTAATGATGATCAAAGAACTCCCACTTATATAGTTTATGAAACTAGACCACCAACTGCCCATGATTGGATTCCACCACCAACTTATACAGTGAAAGCAAGTCCAGTTCAAGATAGCACACAAGAAGTTAACCAAAAAGCTTAGCAGCTTTTCTTTTTTCTCAATGTCACAACATTTATTATGAACTTTATAGCATTTGGCTTCTTGAACTACAGCGTAGAAATGTCGGTTATTTGTGTGAACAATGACAAGACGTATTCACCTCCTTTGCTCAACAATCAAATACTTGTGACAGAGAATCTTATAATTATTATTATAATAATAATAATAATAAAATTGTCATCACTTGTCATCATTTGTCGTTTTTACCACATTTGACAATAATATTCGTGAAATATATTCATATTATTCATATTATTTCATTGGTTATTTACTCTTGAAAGTTTTCACTCTTTTTTTTTTTTTTTTTTGTAAATAACAATGGAAACGTGAGAGATAAAGTTAATAAAATAAAAATACAAAAAAAATATGATAATCAATTAAATATTTAGAAATTTAAAAATTTCAAAGATAAACACTTTACAACAAAATAAAAGGTTTGTAGAATTCTATGAAAAATAAATTAACAAAACTGACAATTATGTACAATAATATAAAAAATTGTCTATTTCGACAATGCAATTATCCAGCAATTACATCCACTTTTATATTATTATTATTATTATTATTATTATTAGCACCTTCACTATCAATCATCTTGGCCTTAATACCATCATCATTACTTCTTAAAGCAACCTTACTAGTTCTTAACCTCTCTATTCCCTTTCCAACATTCTCAATATGCACTTCAATAGGCATTTCAACCAATGATGGTCGTGAGACATGTTCTCTCAATTCTTCTAAATCTAATTGAAATGAAGTTAAACTATATAATGTTGTCTGTATTTGAGAAACTGCAATACGTCTTTGTTTATCAAGATCTCTTAATAATGCTAAATTTTCTTCAAAAATTTGTCTTTTCACTATATTGCCTCCAAGTCTGGTCCACATTTGAGCAAATAAATTGGCTCGCTCTGTTTTTTGAAATGCTCCTTCACGAGTCGTTAGATCATGAATCGCTATTAACATTTCATCCAAATCAGCTAAACTATTAATAAAAAGAACTTTATAATCTATTGTATTTAACATACGAGTTTACAAGAAAAAAGTATATTTCATTACCTTCCAAGTGCTTCAGTCGCGACAAGTATCATTCTTTTTAAATCACTTTCAATCAAAGTCATCATTTGATTATAACCAGCAGCTAATTCTTTAGCACTTATCTTGTTATCTCTAACATTTTCTAATGCTTTTAAAGCAAATATATTATATGTAATCAAATTATCTAATGAAGTCCTTGTTCTGGATTGCAAAATTTGTAAATCTCTACCAACACTTTTAGCCTTATCAACAAATTCTGTAAGTCTATCTACTAATTCTTTTGATGTAGATAAAGAAGAATATTTTATTAAAGTTCTTAGATCTGCTGTTGCTAATTCTGCTTTTTTTATATCTAATGCTAATGAAGATGATGGTCCTGTATGTGATAATTGATAATCCATTATTTGTTCATAAGTTTCAACCTGTCGATTTACTAATCGTGAGAAATCAGGAATGGGCGTTTGACATAATGGAATCAAATTGGACAAGGGTAAACGACACATAGCCAATGCTAGATCATTTTGAAAGGTGCTTGATATAAACGAGATCGAAGACCATCCCAAATATAACGCAAGCGCTATTGAGAAAATGGGTTTAAGAAGGTGAAGTGCACCAACAATTACATCTGTTTGTATAAGGGAAAAAGAGTTAACAAAATGCCTGCAACTAGTTGTTACCATAATTTATTAATACATGCCAATAACAAAATTAAGGGGCCCGATAATATTTGGGGGTGTCGTTTCTTCTCTCTTAGACATTTTGAAAATTCTGCTAACAACGATAACGAAGTAAGTTTTACGTATCGGGCGTTTATTTATTTATTATTGTATTTATATATACATATATACATCATAACATTACAATTGGTTAAAACTTGTAACACATATTCGATTTATAGTAAACGAAAAGATATATCTATATGTTATCGTTATACATGGGTGTTTTGTGACAAAAAGGTTATTCTGTTTATTTTTTTAACCAGCTTCTTTTTTTTTGACGAAAGTTTGGACGTTAGAATCATTAGCTTTGAGTTTGCAGAATGAAGATTACTTACCTGAACTTGAATATCATACCAATTCTGCCTGCAAATAAATAAGATCAAGTCAATAAAAACATTTTACGCTTAAAACCGACGCATGCGTACTATGCATATGACAATTATTTCAACGCTAATATAGTAATAATAATTCATCACATAATAATCACAAATTGACTTTCAAAATTTTTCACGAGATGAGTCTTATCGAATATGAATTTATTGCCTTTACGATCATTAAATCAAACGTTTGGATATCTCGTCATTCCTTTAAAATATTGTGTTCGAAACATCAAAACGTAATAAAATAATGTTCTATTGTTATATGCTTTAAGCATGCAAATTAATTTGCCCATTTCGTAACTTCTCTCACTCAAGAGTATAAATAAATAAATTAATTAAGTATCATTTCGACCTTACGCTGCCTCGTTTTCTCTTTCTTCTGCCTTCCACATAGCATCCAACGCCCTCAAGATCAAATATTCTGGTATAGTATTCACGATGGGAGCAACTATTTTTTCTAATTCAGAAGATGGCATGTTTGCTTTTTCAGAAAGATCTTTAATGAGATTAGTTAGTCCATCAATAGCTGGCCCAAGAGAAGATTCTTTACGTATTAAACGTGTAATTATTTCAAAAAGTCGATCCACTTTGCAAAGTTGAACTTTAGCAAAAAGCATTCTATCACTCTGTAAACCAATATTAGAAGTTCGAGCCCATGAATTTACTACGTCTTCTAATGTTTTAACCTAATATTTAATAATTTGGGTTATCATTAATTCATTTGTGAATAAAAAAAATAAAAAATAAATATATAAATATATACAAAAATTATTAATTTAAACATTACCACTTCCACATCCGTGATCTCGAGTATTTTTCTAAAATTTGACCCTTCATTAGTCCATTCATTGATATTTGCCCGTGTCCATTTAGGTTGGGTGACAGGATTATCCATATCAACAAAACACTCGATGTTATTGCTATGCTGGGCTAATTGACCATTAGTTGGATCTTCCTCACTGGTTACATACGTACCATTATCCAATTTTTCTACCTATTATTTGAATAATATATTTATACAAAATGTTGAATAAGTAATGTTCAGAAAAAAAATTTCGCACCTGAGCCACGCCATCGGTGGAGATTACAAAATATCCAGTTTTCTGGGTTAATGTTATCTTCAATACGTGTTGAATATCAAAAACTAATCGTGTTTGCCCACTACGCCAAGTAATAGCAATTGCATCCTGTTTGGATAAAGGATCCGTTGAATTATTCAAATAAAATCTAAGTCTACAGTCTCCCTTATCTTCTTCAAGTTCATTTTTTTCTGGCATTTTTCAAATTAGTTAATTACAAAATTAGGCAGCCGCTATAATTCAACTTTTAAATTATCTACCTATAACGAAAGTACCAATTACAAATTTAGAGAGTCTGAAATCGAAGAATGGTTTTCGTGGTGGTTTCATAGGCGCCATTCGAGGGCGTTTGTAATAACTTTGACCCCGGTGTGTGGAGCTACCTTGTCGCTTGAATGGAGCTGACATTTTATAAATAGTTGATGTCCAGAGTTTATGTATTAAACTCGACGATCTCGATCTCGCTCACGAAAGTCGCCTATTTATACTTTATACAGCACACTCTCATAATTATTGTATGACAGGTAAAAAGTTCACAATTTATCACGTGTTAGCGATTAGATATTCGTGCATAAATTCGAATAATATTTTCGTATCACCATTTAAAGCCCACCAATGTTTATCAACAACATTTTAAATAAACCAAAATATTTTAAAAAGAACATTTGCACATAAAAGAATTTCACATTTCATATTATTATATTTATCTGACTTTTGATGTGATCTGAATAGTTAATCAATTAACCCTATAATACAATCAAGGGCCCAAAATTTATGTCCATAGTTTTAATGAATGATCTGCGCCTGAAGATATTATCCATGGTTGAGTAGGATGAAACTCACAATGTAAAACACCTACGTATATAAATTTAAATAAATATTAATCTAAAAATGGGACCTCGTGATATACCAAATGATCTGATTGGTGAAAATTTGAGAATAAATTACCTAGATTGTTTACTACTTGATGACCCGTCTTTAATATCTTTACAGGAACAATTAAGGGATTTTGAAGCAAATCATTATAAACCATACCATGAAATATTTGGATGGTTCCATCGTCACTACACGATGCAAAAAGTGGTAGGCGTTTGTGGAAAGTAACGCTACGAATAGCTTTTGAATGAAACCTTTATATATATACAAAATAAAAAATCCAAAAAAATTGAAAAAATACGAAAAAATAACATGAAAAGGCAAATGTTAAAAAAAAAAAAAAACACAATATATACCGTAATGCCTTGTATGGCCTCGATGAAAGGTCCAAATCAAACCAACATAATCGTTTATCATAACTTCCTATTATGACATTGTCACCTTTATAAAATATGAAATAAATAATATTAAATACTTTAATACCAATATTTAAAGATATCACGTATTGTTTATGAAAATATGAACGTAAACAATATCATTATTAATTTTTAAAAAAAATAAGATCATGTACCCATTGAGTGAATATCCAGGCTGGAAATCCATTTAACTCCCGATTGCAATGTTTTAATTAATTCTTGTTTTACCAAATTATAGATGCGTACGAATCTTTGAGTCTGTAAACATCGGTAGAAAGACAAATTTTACAATATTGGAATAAAATTTAATGAGATTTGCATAGTTTATTTGACATACCGCCACAAAGAATAAGGGCTTTATAGGGTGGAACATGACGCGTTGAACCATACCCCTTGCCTTGCGAAAAGGTTGTTGAGTTTGATGTTTCGAAAGTTGATGAATCAAGATGGCTTGGTTGCCCGCTGGAAAATGATGAAATAACAACAATCATTCATAGCTTTCGTCAAATTAAATAAAACATATTATAATTCCCAGCTTACCATCAGGCGCCACAGTCGCAAAATAATCACCCTTTCGATGCCATGTAATTTGTTTGACAACCTAACAAATAATAAGAATAATCGACTTTAGCATAAAAAGGCTCAAACAAGATGGTATACATTTTTATAAGCTACCTTGTTATGTGCGTGCTGCACAATTACAAGGAATCCGTCTCCCTGTTCCGTTGGTGGTTTTATCCATTCAACTAATTTCATTTGTTTTTCTATTAAACTAAGTCAGTAAATCCTTTAGATAAAAAATTAAAAGAAAAAAAGAGTAAATTAATGATGTGGTAAATACCATTTTTCTCAGTGTTAAATCCAGATGTAACATATTGAGCTGTTAAATTTGTAGTTCCATCATCACGTATAGCAGGTGGTGAAATTATAATAACTTTATTCGAACTTGATGAAATCAAAAATAAATATAATGTAGTTAAATTAAGTAAACTAAATAAATTAAGTATTAACGAACTTTTTTACTACTCAACAAAAAAATTAAGACCTACATAGCAACTGCAAATGCACAGATATCCTTATTTGGACACCAAGCCACGGAATGCACAATTTCATTCACATCCCAGGTTTTAACACAACGTCCTGTTGTAATTTCCCACATCCTTATAGTCTTGTCATCAGACCCAGACAGCAACCATATTCCAGATGGATCAATAGAGAACTCGCGTACACGACCTTTGTGAGCATCGTATGAAAGAGTAATTGATGTTGGAAAAGGTTGAAGGTCTTTTGGATTAGGTAATTTAGGCAAGAGTGATTCCGGATCAATGTTAAGCTAAAGTTCGAATAAATTAAATAATCAACAAAGAGAAGTGATAAATTCTAGAATTTTCAAGCACTAAAATAATAAGTTAGCGATGCCGCATTACTTTATTCCTTCGCATACGCGGGGCTAAATACAAGTCGAGGCATCTACTGAATCGCTCTTGAATAAACCGTCCATATGCTGGAACAGCTCTCAGGCATGGATATCTGTAATATATTATTAAAATGAGCTTCAAATTGATTATGTTAAATAAGACAATAGCATTATTACTTTTTGGGCAAATAATCCTTTTCTCTATCATCCAGGTCCGTCTTTTCCCATTCCTCTCTTTCTTTGCCTGTTGGTAAATATTCTGCAGGAGGATTATAGCTCTCATCATGTTCGGGTAACTTTATTTTAGGTGCAGGTATCTGCATAATGTGCTCTTCGCGCGGTTTATCATTATCTGTCCATAAACTATAATAACGAGGTTTTGGTGTCTGAGTTTTACCGAGTACAATACGTCCTTGGCGAATAGCACGAACAATTTTCATTATCTGCAAATAACATTTTAATTTAAATTTGAAGTACAATTATTGAATATCGAACAAATCAATATTAAATATCATAGAGAACATACACGTTTTGCTTCCCATTTTGAAGGTACGAAACGCCTCTTGGGTTCAGGCGTCGCGTTGAGTGGCATCACTTCTGGTTTGCCAGTGAACCACTCAACAGTTGGTTCATACGGATCATAATTTGGATCTGGAAATGCACCCATCTGTATTCTACGAATAATCTCTAATTCTTCGTCACTTAATTTAACGTTCTGTTGTGATAAAACATCTTTTACACGTAACCTGGAAATGGTCGGTCAAATATTATGTTATGAAAATTAATTACATTATAGAAAAAAATAAATGAAGAATTATGCTACATACCATGAATCAGGATCTTCCATATTATCCAAAAATTTGTCCAGTTCATCACTTGTAGCAGGTTTCATGATTTTTTTGCCATCGATGTCATATCCAATATGTGGATAATCATTATACCATTCCATCGGTATATTACCCACGGTATTGACTGGCTAATTCATAAAGGGAATTAATTTAGGCAAACTTCACGAAATAACAAAAATGTTATTCTGATTAATTCATACATTTTCAGTAGAAGAATCACTTTCATATATTGGATCGATTTCTGGTAATATCTGACGTAGATAACCATTAGTGCCAATTTCATATTGCACCTGTTTTTCCCTAGATATTGCATAAACATTTTATTACATAATTGTCCATGAAATTGACCTATATATTCAAGGGAATCACAAACTTTTGATCAGATATTTCACAATCACTCATTGCACTGCTAATAGTCCCTTCATCGTCTTCAATGTCCACATCACTAATGTCTTCAGTGTCCACATCACTATTATCTGATATGTTTTCATCGCTGCTAGTTTCTTCTTCGCTCCTTTGGCGCTTCATTATTATTAAAAAAAATTTTAGCATCACACCATAATGTGATTATCGGTTTTATCAAATATTTTATGTGTAACATTGTACAATCTGTGCGAATTTTTTTTTTTTTGGGTAATTTATTTGCAGCATTTAACCAAATATTAATTCTAGTACCCTAGCCATGGCGAAAAAAAGTGACGGTCATTGTGAATGTAATTTTTAATTATATATCGGGAATGAATAAACATTTGTTTTTAATATTATCTAGTAAAAACAGGGATATTAAAATAATCCCTTTAGTTAACTGACACTTACCTTTATGTGTACCGTTATTCACCTTTTATTTTGCCATATATGCAGAAAAATAGATAGATATCGGGATCTTAATAGAAGCCTTTTAGCTAGCCGATATTTATCTTTGCACGTACCATTATTTACCTTTTATGTAGCTATGGTCACCAATATCGGCAGCAAAATGGATACATAATTTTAAATAATATATCGATATCGGGATAATAAAGGATGCCCATTATTTAGCTGATGTCCATTTTCCATTCTCCCGATATTCATCTTTTATGCTTCTATAGATCTGTCAAACACGTGTAGCAACTAGATATATAATCACCATACAAAGGATCGATATCGGGATATTAATAGATACCCTTTATTTATCTTGTATTTACCTTTTATGTTGTACCGGTATTCATCCTTTATGTTACCAT